GGGTCGCTCTTCATCGGCCAGTCGAGCGGACGGTAGGTCGGTCAAAGTGAGCCGGTGTGCGGTGAGGCCGGCGAGATTCGTTGCGAGATACGGTTCGCGCCCAAACACAAGTTTGGACGCTCTGTGGACGCGCCGCAAAATCAGGCAATTGGAAAGGGGGCTACTGGGGTGGCCAAATTCACACCTCGCGGGACTACTTATGTTTTCGTAAACGTAGTCGTGGCCCCCCGCTACGTCGCACGAGTGCAACCGGGTAGCGGGGGGCTAAAAGGCTAGGAGGGGAGGTCGGGCCCCGCGCCCGTCGGATGATCATCGGAAGGCGAACAAGAGGAAGAACTCAGAGGAGGGGGGAGCCTCCTCCGGACGGGAGTGAGGATGAGGACCCTGTGCGAAGGGGCCCTGAACGGTGACGGCGTGTGAGAGTGCGTGTCGTGTTCATGTCTGGTGTTCATTATAGCTCCGAGTAGAGGGGGCGGTCTGCTGCTAGGGGAAACCCGGAGCGCGGAGCCAACCCTCGGAGACCCGTGTTTACTTTAAGGCCCTTTCCCTGCGAACGCGCACCCCCGGGGCTAGGGCTCTCTTGCCCGCAACCCGACACCGATCATCCGGCCCGCTGGGTGCGCTTCTTAGCTCCTCGGCCCTGGATGTGAGGCTACCGACTGCACTCCAAGTGCTCCAAGTTCACGCAGGCTTTGAGCACTTGAGCACTGGATAGGGTCGATTCCGCGTGGTACGGGACCCCTCGATCGTCTCGCCCTCCCTCACTCCGGATGCTAAGTATTGTTTGCGGGGTATGCGCCATCTCCCTCCCTCCCTCTCTCTAACCCACCATATGAACATTCCTTTTTAGCAGCCCAGCTTCACATTCGCGATCCGCGAGATGGCGCGGTTGCGGGAGGCCAACGGCTCGATCGCCGCCGTGCTCGGCGATGTGCGCCCCACCGCGGACGTCGCAACGGCGGGCGGCGGCGGCGTTGGCTTGGCTCGGAACGGGGCCCCGGCCGCCGAGGGGAGGCGCGGCGAGGTGGTGAGGCGAGACATCGCGCGCTTGAGCTTTTGGCGCGTCGGCCTCTGCGGCGTCTCCGCCGCCGCCGGCGTGATCGCCGCCGCCGCCAGCTTGAGCACGGCCGCCGTCCCCGAGTGGCCTTGCTCGTGCGCGAGCTGCAGCGGCGTGTTCCCATCGCAGTCGCGGAGGTTGGGCGAGGCGCCCGCCGAGAGCAGCTCCGCCACCATCGCGACCTTGCCGCAGTACGCTG